CAAGACCTACGACGCGACGCTCCTGAAGAAGGCCAAGGGCGACTACGACGGCCCGCTCTCGCCTCCCTACGAGGTCTTCCTCAAGTACCTGCCGCCGGACGCGACGGAGGCGCAGGTCGAGGCCTTCTTCGCGGGCTGCGGACCGCTCGCGCTCAAGCCCAAGCTCATGCGCGACCACAAGACGGGCCGCGTGATCCGCGGCTTCGTGCGCTTCGCGGACGAGGCGGGCATCCGCGCCGCGCTCCGGCGGGATCTGGCGCGCCTCGGCGGGCGGTCCGTGAGCGTCACGGTGGCGACGACCTGCGGCACGATGCAGGCGTCGGGCACGCACACGCCGGCCATGTTCGAGGAGTGCGTCGAGGCTTTGGGCGTCGAGTGGAACCCGGACGGCGTCTACGTCGACGGCACCTTCGGCCGCGGCGGCCACACGCGGAAGATCCTCGAGAAGCTCGGCCCCAAGGGCACGCTCCACGGCTTCGACATGGACCCGGAGGCCGTCGCCGTCGGCGAGCAGCTCCGGGGGGAGGATCCGAGGTTCGTGATCCACCACGCGCCGTTCTCGTCCATGGCCGCGGTCCTCGCGGGCGTCGCCGTCGACGGCGTGCTGCTCGACATCGGCATCTCATCGCCCCAGCTCGACGGCGGCCGGGGCTTCAAGCCCGAGGTCGACGGGCCCCTCGACATGCGCTTCGACGTCCGCGAGGGCGTCGAGGACGCGATGGGCTACCTGCGGCGCGCGTCGCGCGTCGAGCTCGCGGCGGCGCTCGAGGCCTACGGCGGCGAGCGGCCCGCGGCGGCGCGGCGCATCGCCGACGCCGTCGCCCTGGCGAAGAAGGACGGGTCGCTCGCGCGGATGACGACGCGGCCCTTCGCCGATTTGGTGGAGCGCGCCAAGGGCAAGGAGTACCAGGCCATGCACCCGGCGAAGATGACCTTCCAGGCTTTGCGCATCGTCGTGAACCGGGAATATTTGGAACTCGAGCGGGGCCTTGCGGGGGCGCTGGAGGTGCTCAAGGAGG